ACTCCATAGAGAACGTGCATTTGTCTCTCCACTAATATGGTTCAAAACATTATCATCTACCCACTGCCTGATATACCCACACACCTGTCGATGTAACAAAGTCCATTCCACATCAGACTTTTTTTTTCTGGTTTTTCAGCACTAAACACCGGTAGGTAATAATCTTTCACATAGAGAAGATCCTCTATTTTTCCTTTCCATATGTGATAATTTGAACTATTGAAATTAATCATTCTACTCGTATTTGCTTCCATAACTCAAACTGCCAACCTGACAATCTATCAATCTAGATCTGATACCACTTTATTGGGAGAGATAACAATAAACAAACACAGCGGAATAACTCTTCTCCCTATATGCAAGCAAATATAGTGTATCTCTACTTTTATATGTGCTGAAAATAATAGAAAAATAATCAATCACACCAAGTCACAAGAACACAAGCAATTTTTTACGTGAAAAATTTTTCCAGTGTGAGGAAGAAAAACTACGGGACCTAGTCCAGTTGAAATCTCCACTATCAACCAAATAATGGGTATACAAAGTCTTCTCTAATCGCAATTAGAGGCTACAATACATCTCATCAAGATATCACCAATTTTGGCAAATACAAAGAGAATTGGAGAGAATATACCAAAAAGTTCACGGGTTCGAACCCCAACTCCCGAGCTCAAAATCCGATCTCCACCGTTCAGATTGTAGCTCATTAAGTCTTGAACCTTTCCTCCAAATTTCAGCTCGATTGGACCACGGATGAAGAGGGATCGCAGTTTTGATGAAATCTGGGCAGTATGAGAAAAAGCTGCGTTTTTCCTCTTTCTTGTGAAAGCTACAGCTGATTTCGCCTGTTTTCTTTTTCTGACTTCCTTAGGGTTCTTTACCCTAAAGGGCTGGGCTTTGGGCTTTAATAAAACCCACTTGGGCTTTCCTCTATATTGAAGGAAATAAACCCAACATGCCGGCCACCACAGAGCTTCAGTCTTAGACCTCTCTTACGTGGGCCTAAAAGGCACCATCCCCAATTTTTTTCAAAACAGTTGTATATTAACCCCAAAAATTAAAATAGAGAGTTTGAAAATAAATTAAGTTTGCATCTCCTATAAACTTCAAGAAAATTTTAACTTGGATTCACCCTTTTAGTTATACTTTTGAAAGCTCAAATTGTGAAACAAAAATATTTAAGTTCATTACCATAATAGTCCTTGCCGCAATACATCGTTATTCCATTTATATATACTCGTACAATATCTACTACCTTGTTGCATGAACTTTTTTGTCAAACATTTTAAAAAAAGTACTAGTGTTTTCTCATGTTTAATAAAAACACATGAAACTTTTTTGTCAAACACATTTTTTAATTTGTAAAATGGTGTTTACAAAAAAAAAATATCTATGATTATATACCAATCTTCATTCATGAGTCCCACGAGTACTTATTTATTTATTTAGACGATGAACACCAATAATATCATACATGTTTATATTTCCAAATTTTAGTTCTATGGTATAAATTCGGCCCCAATTTGAAATTCCTAACTTAAACGAAATAAACCCAGTAATAATATTCGGGTTGTTTTTTTTGACATGGCACGGTATGATTGGAGAGCATGGTATTAAATTAAAAGTAAAGGGTACTCACTTGATTGCAATATTATGTAACATGTGTGCATAAAACATTGAATATTGGTATCTAACTATATACATAAAAAAATACGTATAGACAACAAACACATATATATGTATGTATATATTCAATGGTTAAAGTAAGAAAAATAAATTTAGATAAAAGTTGTTGGGAAAGGATGAGAATAGGATCAAAATCTTCTCCTTCACTTGGTTAAGTTTGTTCCCATTAATAGTAACTCATTTATGAGTGAAGTTTAAAATTGTTACTATTTACGTTTTGAGTCTATTTTACACCATTATAGTAACTACTAAGCTAGCCTATCCATTCACCTTTGTCTTCCAAAGTGAAAGGGTCCAGTTACTATTGATAGTAATGGACCGGGGTGATTTTGATTCATGAGAAAACTTAATAACTTAATATATTGAAAGGTTGGGTCACTATTGATGTCAACTATAGCCTAAGGATACATCAACGTCGGAAGGGTTGAGTTATCACTGATGGTAACAAACTTCACCAAGTGGATGCATGGGACCGTGGGTGAATTGAATTGACCCATAAGAAAATTTAGTATATCACGGAGGTGAATGGGATCGTGGGTGATTTTGATCCATGAGAAAAATTAATATATCTCGAAGGGTTAGAGTTACCATGGATGGTAACGAACTTCAACAAGTGGATCCCGTGGATGCGATCGTGTGTGAATTTTATCTGTGAGAAAACTTAATACATCTCTAATGGTAAAACAAGCACACATGCACTTTTTTGTTGACGCTCGGCTTGAACCCCTCTCCTCCTCTTTTATGATGTGGAGATTATAATATACCGCTAGGCCAAATGTTCTTTACTACAATAAATGTAGGTTCATTGTCTGGCTTTAGATTCATAATATTTTTAGAAAACTATCAAAAATTAAAATTTATATATATATATAAATAAAATTTATTAATATTTTATTGCCGTATTCTATTTTTTGAGATTTATCCATGTCCTATTTTTTGAGATTTGTTCGTATCGTCGTATATTCTGTGTCAATATATGTATTTCTTAACGACTCATGGATGATCTAAAAGAGGATAGGGAAGGTGTTTTACAGGTTTAGGGATGGCAATTTGACCCGCCCCGCCTCGCCCCGTTTTTGACAGTTTTGGGGGACCGTTTAGCTTTTGTTGATAAACGTGCCATGACATCTGCTTACATGGCACCCCATTTTGAAAATAGACACCCCTGGCCAGAACCTGTCTGGTGTGTCATTGAATAAGGACCAAGTTATCTCGAGTTACTTGTCCCGTAACTGGATTTGCTGGTCGAGGAAGGGCTTGTTACCCTTCGCTCCTCTGTGACGTACCCCTCTCCGGTCAGATGGGTCCCTTCTCATTTTCTATCACTTCTCGAGGTCCTCTCCTGCAAATGGGACCTCGAAAATCTTACACTTTCTTCTCTTGAGGTCCTCTCCTGCAAATGGGACCTCGAAAATCTTACACTTTCTTCTCTTGGCTATTTCGGGTCTAGTATTAACTTTTTCACGCCCTACACCGAGTCGCGCCCCTCTTGGTCAAGTTAGCCCCGGGCTCGCGATACCCGGTTCGTTTCTAAATCCCCCTTTCCGCCCATTCTAAGATGGCTCACTTTTCAATCTTATTCAACTTTCTCGCCATTCTAAAATGGCCTAATGCACTTCTCATTCAATTTTCCCACCATGCCCAGCATATGAATGCAATTGCGTCAACTTGAGCTCAATTTCACATTTATGATAATCGTGGCATAAACACAGCATTCCTAATACAATGGATATAACATGGTATTTATTTACAACTTAGCTACAAACATGACATTCATTATATAAACCAACTACATGCATGGTAATTTTCAAAACATTAGTAATAACATACTCATCATCATCATTATGATGTATGTGTGTGTGTGTATATATATATATATAATCTCATGAAAACAATTCAACACAAGACATGCTCATTCAACAATTTTACAATCAAGCACATATATATACAAAATTTTTATCTTTTAGATTATATTTCGTCACATAAACGTGTAAGCACATAATCGACATTCAATTTTTCTGAAATTTATCATTTTAAGCATATTTATTATGAATTCAAGTATACGAACTCAACTAAAGTCAAAACTTAATGGTTTAGACATCCCTACCTCAAAATTAGCCAAAATGCATCCTCGCCCGAAAAAGCCAAACCGGTCAATGCCGGTCAAAGGAGGCAGAACGAAAAACTATTTGGTGGAAACGTAGCCAATGACGAGGAGAGTATACTGCTCCAAAGGTCCGGAATCCGACTCGAAGTGCCCAAAACCTTTTCGAAATCTTAGATCTAAATAATTCAAAAATTCATAAAATAATCATTGCTCCTCCAAAAATTAAATCATTTGATTATATAATAGAAAACGATAAGAGGAACATTTTCAGTCAAGGAATCAAGGTAGGAAACCTGACCGATTGGTTGAAAAATGAAGGAGAAAAATTGAGGTTTAAAAGAAAAGAAAAATGGAGAGAAAATGGGAGAGAAAAAGCTGCGAGAGTGAGAGAGATTCTGGCCAAAATATAAGCCATATGATATATGTATAATAAGTTGATAACTTATGGGGTCCATCCAAAAAGAAATATCTCCATTTACCTTTATATATAGATAAATATATATTTATATATACTAAACGCTTCACAATCACACATTTCCAACTACGTAAATATACAATATAAAATAATGTATGAAGAGTATCGGCCCCGAAAAATAATTCCTGTGCGCAACAATATCGGTTGCGGGTCCTGCTTGGGACCTCCTCGCCTGAAAAATTGAAAAATGTCAAAATGACCAATAATGCATTTTTAAGAGTCATGAATTCAAAAAAATGTCCAAATTACTCTCGGAACTCACCCGACACACAAAGTAAGGTACGGAAAGAAAAATCCTGAAAAATCAAAAAATTTCTGAAAATGAAATTTTAATTTTAATTGTTTTTTTCTTTTTAAAAGTGTTACAAAATTGAAATTTTTTAACGTTTTTATTTTTATTTTTTTTTATTTTAAAAATTATAGTCGTTTAGGCACTGTTTGTATCAGCCAAACCATGCCTTAACGGCCAAATGCATTGTTTATGGCAACAATTTAAAATTTAAAGCAAAAAAAATTAAAATCAAAATTTAAGGGGAAAAAAAAGGTTTTTAAATTTATTTTTGGCCCAAATAAATTTATTTTTGGTCAAACAGTGCCTAAACAATATATTTTTTATTTAATGAATTTTATTTTATTCATATAAAAAAATTGAGCTCAAAATAACCCATTTTGGGTTTTTCCAAAAAAAATACCAGGCTGCCAAACAGTGCCTTAAGGCACTGTTGCAGCCTGAAGTTTTTTTTAAAAAAAAAGCTTCAGGCAAAACGTCGTCGTTTTGCTAAATGAAAAAGACAAAAAAAAATATATATACCCCAACTATCCAAACACCCTTCTTAATCGCTTCTAAGCCCAGAAAGTGAATCCAAACAGGGCCATAATTGCGCGTCAGCCGCTGGGGTTTAACTCTCACACACTACAACACTAAAGCCTCTGGTTTTACACACCCGCAGTCCCGGTATAGTTGAATATGATTAGGGCTGCGACGATCAATACTCGAGCCGTGTGTCTTCACTTTTCTCTTTCGCTTCTCGTATTTGCAACCAATCGATCAACGAATCAAAGCTTTTGCTGTTCTGCTTAGATTCTGGTAATTTCTTCAAACCCTATCCCTAATTACTAGTTCTTTAATGTTTCGTATTAATTCTTTTATATTTATTTTAGGTTAGTGTTGAATTTATTACTGGTTCTTTAATGTTTCGTATTAATTTTTTTATATTTATTTTAGGTTAGTGTTGAATTTATTACTGGTTCTTTAATGTTTCGTATTAATTCTTTTATATTTATTTTAGTTTAGTGTTGAATTTTCGTTTCTATAGACTGTTGCATCAACGGATTGAAATTTATGCGACTGCCATTATGCATACCTAGGGTTTTACAGTAGAAAATTGGTTGAAAGGCAAGGCCTGTACCGAATGAGCTCAAACTCTAGACCGTTTGAATTTCTACTTTTTATTTAGAGGGGTATTTTCCTAATGAATGGTCCACAATCTACCAAATTTTATTTATTTATTTTTTATTTATTTATTGTTTTGGGCATATCATTATTTTATTAAGAAGTTTGAATAGATTAACTATCCAATGGAATAACTGCCTCACCCACGGGGCTTGGTCCGGTCTCAAACCTATCGGGCCGGCATCTCTCTCAGTTCAGATTGTTTTCACTTTTATGCAATTGATCTGTGATCCAACTGACTTATTATTATTGTTATCAGTTTTTGCACGTGAGTGCTGATTTTTCATAATTAACTTGAACTAATTACTGGATATTATGGATACTGATTTGATTATTTATATTAGTTGAATAAAAACATTTTTATCAAGATCGTTTTTTGTGTTGGAATTACAGCTGATTTTGCAGTTGTGCACATATAAAAGTTGTTCTATCCTATCACACTTAAAGTGGCTATCTTACCATTTAGGATTTAACCGCTACTTATTTAACCATGGACTTTCACATTAATAGTATATTTATCTTTTTCACTTTTTTTACATTAATAGTATATTTCACTTTTTCACATTAATAGTATATTTCTATTTATTAGTCAATTGTCATTAGGTGGCAATTGAGTAATTAATTTTTCTTCCTTTAAATTTTGTCCTAATTTTTTTGAGAGTGAAAAAAACAAAGTATTTATGAAGGCATTACGAATAAATGACATGTGTTTAGTCCTGCATTAATGATTGTTTTCTGCTAATATGAAGCACATTTTGTTGCAGTGATTTGTGCATTGCTTTCTTTAGGTCAATGATTATGGTGTATGAGAGTTGATCTGGAAATCTGAACTCTGTTCCTCTTCAGTTTTTGTAGTTTCCAGCTATGGTTGCTACTGATACTATAGTAATGAGGAAGTTGAAGATCAAAACTGAATCCGAACAAACTAAGACTGAATCTACGATTCGATGCAACTTTGGCCAGAAGTTGGTGCCACCTTCCGCAGTTGACAGAAATTTGAATTCTGCTGATAACTTAAAGGTGAAGTTGTTGGAACCAGGCCGTCACAAGCGGAGACCTGCAGGATTATTAGAAAGTCAAAAGGTGAAGAGGCAGAAGATAGATCGGAGCGTGTCACAGCAGTGTTCTACCATTCTGAAGAAATTGACAACTAATCCATCTGCTTGGCCTTTCAATCAGCCAGTGGATCCTGAGAAATTGCATATTCCTGATTACTTTTCTATCATTTCTGAACCCATGGATTTGGGAACGATAAAGACCAAACTGGAGAAGAATTTGTATTCCAGCGCTGCAGAGTTTGCTTCTGATGTCAAACTGACCTTTTCCAACGCCATGCTGTATAATCCTCCAGACAACTATGTTCATCTAATGGCCAAGGATTTAGATAATATGTTTAATTCAGGATGGAAGTGCTTGGAGGCAAAATGGAATTGTAAGAGCAAAAGAGATGAGCAGTCATCTATGTCAAGTGAAAGACCAAAGAATATTGATGTTTCAGGGCAGAATAGATGTTTTCTGAGCAGAAAAGAAGAACAGGCATCTGTTTCAAGTGGAAGACCCAAGAATATTGTTGTTTCAGGGCAGAATAACCGTAAAACACCTTCATTGCGTGTTAGTTCGCAGCCCAGCACCTTGATGTCAGCTATGAAGAAGAAAAAGCTGAGAGAAGAGCTTGTGAGAGTATTAAAGGGAAATATGCCACAACAGCTGGAGTCGTTTTTTAAAAAATATGCTTTCATCTGCCAGAAAGAAGAAAAAATTGAAGTGGAGATCGATACATTGGATGACAAAACTTTATGGTTTTTGGAAAGAGTGATTAGGAGTTCTTTGGATATAAGAGCTGCAAAAGTAAGTAATTTTCGGGTGATTACCATATCAAAATAACTTTTACGTTTCAGTTTTTTGCAGTTGGTTCTAAAACTTCATGTTGGTTTGGGTTCTTAAATGTATTATCTATTTGACCATCTCTCTTCTTTACACAGGCGGAGCCTCCTAAAATGAAAGAAAATGGCAGGCCTCAATCTTCAGGGAAGATGTTCCACAAAGCTATGAAGTGGCAGAATACAATTTCTGTTACTGGTACTAGAAGTGCTTCAGGTTCTGCCAATGTCAAACCTTCATTGGCTCTCTCCAAATGTGCATGTGGCAGTGTGAGATGCCAATGTGGACGTCAAAATGATTTTGTCTGTTCATCTTCAAGTGGTTAGTTGATATTTTCTCATGCTGCTTCTATACTCTGGATTTCCAGTAGTTGACTGACTTAATTCCAATCTTGCTTTTGGTACAGATTTATCTTCAGAGAAATCATTGGAACAAGATCATCACGATGCTTGTAGAACGGTACATATCTCAGTATTTTGTTCATGTCATGGATTTATAACGAGATTTATTATATTTGATTTGCTTGCTTTTCAAATCTGAGTAGAAATCTTTGTATATAAATCTAGGACTGCAAGGTACAAATGGCATCTTCCCAGATGAGCATATCATCCCAGATGAGCAAATCAGATTCTGATGGTAAGGATTTGTATTAACTGATATTTTACCTGTTGTTTCTTGGTAATCTAAGAATTGACTTGACATCTGAAATTATCTAAAGGGGCCACAAGTGCTTTGGATGAAGAAGTTTTTTGTTCTAGTCCACAACTTTCGACACTTGCTACAACTGCTGCTTCTGGAGAAGGTTAGTTTGTTTGTCAATTATGTATGACTCGAAGTGTTTTGAAATGTAACCACTCATATACTCATTTATACATCCTTGCATTTCTGCTGTTTGTTCAGTTGGTTTAGCTTGCACACCACTTATTGATGTCCAACTGCCACCAAAGAAGGCTCTCCGTTATGCAATGCTAAAGAGTCGCTTTGCAGATACAATCTTGAGAGCAGAACAGAAGATACTTTTAAATCATGTAATGAATTTTGATTTTCCATACTAGTTTGATGTGCAGAATTATGATGTTATTTCTAGCAAGTTAGAAGTAGAATAGTGGCTGAGCATGCGATGTTGCTTACCAAGTTTGTCATTGATCTCAGGGTGGTAAAGCTGATGTGTTAAAAATGCAGCAGGACAAGGAAAAAATGGAAAGAATGCAGCATGAAGGTATTGAATGAACTTCGTACCTGTCAGTATTATATATTTGTATGTGCTACCGAGCTAACACATAATTCTCCCTTTTTAATATAATAATGACATTTCTTCTTAGATTTGAATGAAAATTTGAAGGTCTAGACAGTGGTTATTGACCTATCATGCACAAAATATTTAATTCTTTAATCTATTTCAAGCTGGTTGGGAATTGATGAAACGAAATTTGAAGTGTATTATGATGGTATTACAAATAGAACAGAACAGAACAGAATTGGGACAAGGAAAATGTTAAAGTAGGTTGTGAGGACCTTTTAAGTGCCTGGTTTATCAAATACCCAAATCCTAAGACACATGAACTTGATAAACATTTATATTTCTCTCTCTCTCTCTCTCTCTCTCTCTCTCTCTCTCTTGTGCGCGTGTTGAAGGGTTGGAGGCTACAAGAGAACATGAAATCTGTGATCTAATCTACTTTGGCAGCTTTAATTCATCCTATCATATTATTTTTATTGGAGTTTTTATTCATTTTTGTTCTTACTATGAGGTGCTTCTCTTTTTATGGAAAAGCTATAGAAAGTTCTTCAACTTTGTTTTTAACTGGTAATTTTACTGTTCACAGAGGTGTTAAGAATTCAAGCTGAAATCAAGGATGCTGAAGCTGCCTCGCGACTAAGAGCAAAAAATGAACTGAAAATGCAGCGGGAGAGAGCCCGACTTGCACTAGAGAAGGTATGTCTATGTCTCAGTATCTCTTTCATGTAGATGTTCAAATTTGTTGAGACACCTTTATTACAAAAGGGATCTTACCTGTTGTAAATCTTACCCCCATTCAGATAGAGAGGAGCGTGGAGATTGATGAAAATTTGAAGATCTTTAAAGATCTTGAGATGCTTTGTGGGTGTACGCCATTTGGCCGCTTCTGTAATGCGTTGGAACAGCTCGGTTTGTATATAAAGGAGGAGTACCTGGTGGGTGAGAACGAGGATATATATTCATAAATCTGAAAACTCTTTGTTTGTCACTCTGATTGTATATTCTTGTTTAGTGGAGTGGGGAAAGAAAATGGTTGGGTGTAAATGATGTTCTGAGTGAGGGATTGTAGTTGTAGATGAGCCAAGAAAAATGTTGCATTGGTTTCTCGTCTCCATTTTTTGAGAGGGGATGATGTATTTGGATTTAGGAGGGATATTGGAAACTGTTTATAATATATTGCTCTAGCCTGAAGAGGGGGCTTCCATTGAGTTTCATCTGTATGACACTGTTGTATTATCAATGCAAAGTTGATGTTACCATTTTTCAGATTATACGTCTGCTTTTCCCTGTCTCTACTACTATTTGATTTTGATACAAATAAATATTATATATAGTACGGTCTTAAGCTGCGGTCACACACCATCACAATCTGGTCTCAATGTTATAAGGTCTGTTGTTCCATTTTGAATTTTCATGGTAACTTGTAAGGTTGTGTAATTTAATGTTTTCTTCTTATTGCTGCTATTTCAAAATTAGAGGTAACAATTTATGTCTAAACCCATTAAACTGTTCAAGTCGATCTACTAAAATTAAATTATTTGGGTACTCAATTTAAGTGAGTAGATTAGTAACGGATAAAAAGTGGATACCCATTACAATTCAAGGGTTAATAGTGGGTTAAGATTTAAGAGTGGTACCGCTTTTCTCTCCTTTGTAAAACAAAATTATAAACAATCTCCCCACAAAAAAAAAAAAAAAAAAAAAATAAAAACTATTGGGGTATTGCAAAAACCCTCCTGAACTATAAAAAAAAAACCCCTAAACTTTGTTTTTGTTGCATTTTACCCCACTAGAAAAGATTCCGGTACTGGAAAAATCAAAAGACCATGTTACCCTTTTGAAAAACAACACAGTTTCAAGTTTCATACCCTTGACTTGCTGACTTGGAATATAAAATTTCAAGAACCAATTAAATAGTGCCAACACACAAGAAATAAGCATATGTGTCTCTTTATTGCAATTATTACATTTTCAAGAGAGACTAGTATTACATTTTAGCTTCCTTTAGGTATCGCGATTCTTCTGTTGGCTCTGTTTACGGCCATTTACGTGAAACAAAACCAGCACAAAAACCCACAACCCCCACCACCACCACACACCCTAAAAATCCAATTGAGCTACAAACCCACTGCCATTTTCCTTTCGTTCATGGGTTATCTGATTTTTCATATTTGGCTATCTCCTTGCTGCAATTTGATCTGATTTGTTTTAGCAACAAAATAGTATTTGTTATGTTGTGTTTTGACTTCTGAGCAACAAATCGGGGATTTGAAAATTAAATTTTAAAATACTGTTGTGTACGTTTTTGAGCAACAAATAGGATTTGAAATTAAATTTTGTTGAAATACCACCTTTACTTGTTGACAAAATAATATTAAACCATTCCTTTTACCTGTCCAAAAAAAAAAAGAAGATATATATATTAACCAACTTTGTCCTTATGTATTGTCAATTTTACCCTTTAATCAAACCATCTCCACTTTTTTTCTCTCACCTCCTTCTCTCTTATTAATATCTTCTCCACGAATCCAATCACCCCCCTCTACCTCCATCTCCATTCCACCATAACCACCATCTCATCCTAATCCATCATTTACCCACCACTGCCAAACATATCTCCAAGTTTTTTGTTGCATAAAGATTTTGTTTTGTGTATTTATTGTCACACCATTTGTTGCTTATTGCATGGTAATACTTGAAAAAAGGGAGAAGAAATAAAGTTAGAAGTAATTAGAGGAATTGGAATGGAAGACAAAAAAACCCCACCAGATTGAAATGGAAGAAAAGATTTCTGTACCTAGCTTTAATACAATAAATTTTGATGAAAATCAATTTGGGCAAAAAATAAATGGACAATTTTAATCAACATAAATGGGCATGAGCATTTCATATTAACAAAGTCATGGGAGGTTCAGAATTGAAAACTATGCACAGTCTAGATTTCATTTCAATAGGTAGTTGCGAATTTAATCTTGTTCTCACCAAGGCTATTTCTTTTTCTCTATGTGCATATTTTCATGGTATTTGCTAGAGAACTTGAAGTTGTTCGATTCTAAATAACTTTCTCTTTTAGCAAGTACGAATGTATTTTATAAAGGATAACGAAAAAAAAGAAAAAGGAAAAACGAATTATTGCCCATTTGCAAATAAACTCCACATCTACAAACTTTTTCCTTCAACTAATAATTTGTCTGGTGTAATTATTTTATCCTTTCTTATTAAATTTGTTATTTCTTATTAAATTATTTTCATTATCTTTTCTCTTATTCTAAATATTGATTATATATCTTAATTATTAATTTATCATAAAAATGTGAAGAAAAAAAAAAGTTGTAATTATCATTTTCTAAAATGATTAACTTGTTTCTAAAACTTTACCATTTATAATAAAACTTATTATACTTGGTTTAAACTCTCTTACCATAAATAATTTATTTTAATAAAAAAATACACTAAGTGTAATTCAATAAGAATTGGTCATTTAATAAAAAATAACCGGCATTTTGTAACAAAATATGATAATTCAAAGGGTATGCGCATAAAATATACTTCAATGAGATTATTTACAAATTGGGACCTAATTTAGAGAGGATTTTTTTTTTTTTTTTTTTTTTTTTTTTTTTTTTTTTTTTTGCAATTTACTCTCTTTTAAATGACAAAAATGTTTTATAACATTAAAAATTAACTATAACAATTTATAATAATTCAATTTTATGGGTTGAAATTTTAAATACTGAATTTATGATTTTTAAAAGGGTAAATTTGATAATTCAATAACAAATTTTAAACAAATTGTCACTGGGCATTTTGTATTTTTTTTTTTTTTTTTTAAAGTAAATGTTCACATACTCAGTACAAATACCCACTGACTCCAATTCGGGAAGAAGTGGTTATTATTGATTGGTGGCTCCGGGAAATATTTTTTAAAATATATTTTTATTTTTGGCTTTTGATTGCAATAAAATATTCACGAAGAAAAAAAAAATTAAAATCAAATAAAAATAATTTTCTCTGCCCTTTGTCGACCACATCTTTAGTGGAAGAGATGGTCAATGCAGGGATTGATCAGTTCTTCTGTTGATCAGTTACAGTGGATTAATGGTGTCTCATGAAGTAAATCCATTCGACTCTCTACCTGGTGTGTACGTTTTATCTTAAATGAGATAGTATGAATTTCATAGTATGAATTTCAACTTTGCGTTTTACTCTTCTCATACTTAGATTTCTTATTTCTAAGAAAGTTAGAAATATATTGCATCAATTCTAATCTAGGGTAAATATTTACGTATAATATATTTGGACAATTTAGGGGGACTCGAATACAGACACGGGAGCTGGACACTCTGCCAATTAGGTCATTATCGACATGAATTTTGTGGAATGAAATAATACTCTTTAGATTAGGGTCTCTTCATGTTTCATTGATTTCATAAAGTTAGATTTTCATAATTGAATTTCAAATCTAGACATTCAATGTTACCATTGAAATTCTATTTGTAAGGAATTCAAACGTTGATCGATCCATAAAAATCATTGTCTTCCTCTTTATCAACCTTAGCTTACTTCGACATTTCCCATTTTCAACCTTATTTTGGGATAGCCATACCATATATACTATAAAATCATGTAAAAGTTGGTGATACTACTATTAAATTAAAAATGGGAATGATCGAAGTAGACTGTTTGGACCTTTTTTTTATTTCTTCAAAAGTTCAAACAAATACACACACTTACTATACATGTTATGCTTCCATTGAGGTTCGAACATTCAACCTTTCCATTAAGGGAGGAAAGCATGTAACTTTTGTTGGAAGAACTCCAATATAATCATGGGTTATATCAGAAATTTAGACTCCTTAGATTTACTGACAAGAAGAGACCCACAAGATTAAAGCCCAATAGTTTTTTAGAAAATTTAATTAAAGTTGTGTGACTACTTGGTTTATGTAACTAATTAAATTTTAAATTTTCAATTGTACGCTAGAATCTTTCCATTAATTGATAAAGGCAAAATGGTACGAGACTTGAAGAGATCACAGTCTAAGAGATCTTTTGATCTGCATGGTCATTTGCATAGACTAGAAACCATTAGTTTCTGTTCTAACAAATTTACAGGAAACCTTCCTAAAGAAATTGGCAAGCTTGCTAATATGAAGAGTTTGGACATTGAAGAGAACAGACTTTCAGGCTCCATACCTGCCTCCATCTTCAACATCTCCTCATTGGAAATTATTGCTTTTACCAATAATAGCTTATTGGGTAAGTTTCGAGTGGATATATGCTATCGTCTTCCAAAACTCATAGAACTTTATCTATCAGAGAACCAGTTCGATGGCCAAATTCCTTCCACTTTATATGAATGCTCAGAACTTCAAATCTTGTCATTATCATATAACAAATTATGTGGAGCAATATCAAGAGAGATTGGGAGCTTTACCTTCCTGAGAGAGTTATATCTTGGTGGAAACAACTTAAAAGGTATGGTAAATTCTGCTTTTGTTCTTCCTTACTATGTCCATCTATGCTTGCATGTATGCAATGAGTTATCTTATACAGTAATTCTGAACATATTTTTGCATACCTGGAAGGTTTAGAAAATTGTGTTATGTTAATGTGGTATATTAAATACTTAGATGAATAAATGTATAAGGATATATTCAAATGCTTTAAAATCTTATAAATAAATAATTTGCTCACAAAATTTTATCTTTACACTAGAAAAATATTTAGTTTGCTAATCGCTCTCGGAAATATTTTAAATAGATTATTTGTGACACAGTTACAGGCATATTAATTTAGAACTTTATGTGTACTCACTCTCCAATGTACATTCTGAGGGCGGGCCCTAACTCAACGGTAAGATTGTTCCATTGTACCCTCTTGGAGGTCACAGGTTCAAAATAGGAAATAAGTTACCCGTATATGAAGGTAAGACTGGGTCCATCATACCCTTCCCAAAACGTGCAATGACGGGAGTCTCGTACACTAGTCTAGCCCTTCCAGTAATTGTGAACGATAAGTGAATATAAGTAACAGTTTTTACTTGTAAAGTCCATTTCAGGATAAACTGACTCTGCATAGAGACAAGGATTTTTGAACAGATTTGTAATAGGCCATGAAGGAGTCCACTTACTACGTTCTAATTCAATTTCCAAATAGAGCCTCTTAAAAATAGACATCACAGTACCATCACTTGTGTTTAATTGCAGTCTTTTAGTTGTGTTTCAGTTTTTTCAATGTCATGTTCCACATCCTTACTAGTTGGACTCCC